ACATAAATATTGTGTTTTGACATACTGGTTTCTGGATAAACAGAGTAAGAACAAGGCTGCAAAGAACTGAGACATTTCTTGTCCATTACACTGATGTGCATGTCCAGTAACATGCTTGTATTATCCTGTTAAAACACATTTTTCCCATAATTTCAATTACAGTAGCCTTGGAAACCTCAAAACTCTTATGAGTCATAGTGTAACTCTTGGGATGAGCCAGATTAGATTCTTAGTTATGTTCTTGCAAAGATAACTAATACTACTGGGGATTCCTCCTGGGGCAGGAGTCCCAGGTCAGCACAGCACTGTGCCATCCACTCATGCCCCAGAGGAGTATCCCTGGAAATCCCCCTGCACCCCAGAGCAGCAAGCCAAGGCACAGCTACAGCAGCGAATCAAACAGTGCCAGGTCCTGCAACCTGGCCCCATGGTTCTTTAGCACAGACCTGGGGCTGCCCCAGGGCACCCAGAACCATGCCAAGCAGTTCCCAAGCACAGCTCAGGAGTCAGCACAGAGCTGAGATGCTGCCCAGTGGGTGCAAGCACTGTTCAAGAAGCTCAGGGCTTTAATAAGCTATATGTGACCAGACCATGCTGGTCACAAAGCCCCAAACCAGTACAGACACAAATTTAATTGCTGTCACGAGAAGTCAATCACCAGCGTTAAGGAGGACCACTGATGCCATTGCTGAGCCACTACCCTGGAAAGAAGGGGCTCCAGCTTCCCAGAATCACCTCTTCAAGAGATTGCAGGACTTCAGTTAAACCCCAGCAGGAGGGGGGTGTTTGATTACACCGACAAATCCAGCCCAGATCATTTATATAACCCCACTTACCTTCCACAAAGGGAGCACCAGGTACTGTTATGACTACACAGTAATTACACTCGCTCTAAATACTCCTAAAATCTCTGAACTAAGATGGTGACTCGCTCCCCACGCTGAGCCAGGCAGCACCACGCACTGAACTGGCATTTCAGCTCCTCTCTAGAAGCTTTTTCAGAACCTCTATATCCACAGCAAAAAGCTCACCTTCCAAAGCAGTGCTAGAGGCAGCGGAAGGGTCGGCAGCAGAAGGGTCAGCAG